ACGTGAAGCAGGCTACAAACAACTGTGCCCAGAGGTGAAAGGGAAGAAAACAAATGTAAGAATCTGCATATGGATGTTAAAACCAGTTTGTGGTTAACATTCCTACATTTATCCTGTTAATGTTGGCAAAAACTCACAAATTAAGTGAACACTCCTTTGAAAGACAGCAGCTTTTGCGGTTGAGAATGAATGGCCTATGAAATTACTGCTTAAAGTCTAATTTCAACTTGGGCTGGGTCAATATCCCTTAGGTAATACCAATACCGATAGAGTACTTCATTTGATACCTTTTCTTCCCTTCTTAATTTAATAACCATCGTGTCAATGGAAGCAGTCAGTTGCATAAAATGCCACCAGACGTCACAGTCATGTCGAATGTTTTGGTGTCATTTCAGGACGCAGAGCTACCATCTCCGTAAAATACACTGCGCTCGACTTCACCACACCACCGACTGTATGGGTTGTAGCTGCTGCAGCAGTGGGCCAGTCATACGTCACATTAAATCAAAGAGCGCTTGTGGTGATTGGCTGCGAGCAAAACCATACAAGTTGTCGTCTGTTTCTAGATCAGGGATTTAAAAAAAGATTGAATGCAGGTATTGTTTGACTGGAAAAGTTTTGATACTGCTTGGTTCTGGGTTATTTCAGTCAATACCTTTAAGCCAAGTCTAATTTCAACTGCTGACAGAATTCTCTTTTACTGGTTGGTGCCATCACTCAGTATTTGTTTATTTATAGGTCTCTAAATTGTAATAAAAAACTAATTCGGGGAAGCACTTTCATCCAAGAAACTTCTTCAGTTCTTCTTGGATGAGAGGCTAAACGTCTTCAAGAAACACAAGCAAGTCCAGTTGCCTATGATATAGCACTTATGATTACCATGACCTGGATGAATGAGAATCTTCACCGACATAGTGCAAAAGCATTTAACAGTTAACCTTAAAACACAATTAAGTGATTAAGGTGAAATGTTATGCAAAAAACACATGTGAATTTGTTCCATAAGAGGCCCACCACTTCATCTGAGTACATTTAAAGGTATACCTGTGCCTGTATTTTATTATTTTCTTCATATTTTCTGTGTCTGGGACATTTATGTGCGTGCTCCCCCAATCCTGCGTATTATACCATTAAAGCATGAAACAAGGGTTTGTTTAGATTTAAATATGTTTCAGGTTTTTTGAAAATGTCATTCAAAGTCTCAAGATTTTATGAATATTTATTATTTTTAATATTTGTACAGTTGCAGCATCAGAATTTAGTCAAACAGAAACTTTCACAGCACAGCTATAAAAGGACATCATCAGTGCAGCTCCTATACACAGAGACACACAGCTCACTACAGGACGCCTTATGTGGATAACATAAGGAACACACGTGCGCACAAATACCAGTGAGAGCCAAAGAGCTACTGGCCCCTCTATAGTTTCACTGATTAGGATCAGATGCTTCAGAACAACTGCTTATGATGATTATTTCTGTCTTCAAAGAGACACAGGAAAAGTGACGAGGACACACACATGGATACAAAGACATTAAATAATGCGCAGACATTTTGATTCAGTGTCAAACCAGAGCCATAACTGCTCTATGGTCTACATATGAGGGTGTGTGTGTGTGTGTGTGTGTGTGCCCAAACAATGATCGTAAATGATGAAAGGAAGTCGGAGATTTCTGGTTAAATTAACAGGGCAGTTAATGAGGTGAAAGGACGGCAGTATAGCAGCTCGGGTTCACTAAGAGCAGAGGCCTTCGTTCACAGCGCACAGGAAAAGCTGGTGGGAAATGGATTCCTTATTCTCCAGGTGTTTGGCATGAAATGACTTCCAAAAACAGAACTCATTATTTCCTCTGTGACGACAGAGATGAGAGAACATTAGTAAATGTTCCATTTAAAATGAAGAGGAATCCAATTTTGTGCACTGAAGGTATGTTTGAACATTTGGACACTTAGTTAAAAATTATTGCTGGCATGAAAACAAAACCTGAAATTAGAATGTAGTCAGAATTATTATCGTACCACCACACACAGAGCAGTGAATATCAGGTAACATGCTTGAAACCCTTAAACCATGCTTATACTGGGGTGTATTTATCCATACACTGAGCGCTCCATTCAGCTTTCCCTGCAGCGTTCACTACCCAATAAACATCTTTCTTGGCTCTAACTGTGGCTGAAGTTTATCATCTTCACTAACATAAACTGACCCGTACACAGAGAAAGGGAGGCTTCACTTTTCAGGTGGATTCAACTTAACAGTACCAACAGACAATAAAGGACATGATTGATGCTTCTCTTTTTCCGATTTAAACAAAAAGCAGATGCAGAAGTTTCAGTCTGAAGGAACAGCGGCCAGCGAGGATATCAGAAGGAGGATATGGAAGGAAAGATGATAAAAGACAGGAAGCAACTCACCTTACATAACAAAGCTGAAGCCAGGGAAACTTCTCCAGCTATTTTTGGGCCTGCATCCACGTGGCTGATATGACACGGCGTATGGGGTATTCCCAGAACACGCTGGTAATGGTTAGACTGACCACTACAGGAAGGAGATTAGTGCAAGTCATGACTTATCATAGTTCATGTTAGGAAACATTTCTGAGTCAGTGCTGTGAAGGAGAGGAGAAGGAGTTACAAGAAAGGTGTGTTTCCTCTGCGTGAGCACAACATCTAAAGTGGGCTAGCAGCACACTGAAGGTGCAGGGAATCTCAAAGGCCTCAGTTAAACATTTTATTTCTAAGGGTGGCTTGAGGTTCGTTTGCTGAAACACATGTCAGGGTAGGAAATAACTAAAATGAGCACCTCGTAGTTGCATTCCTCTGTGAACCAGTCAAGTTGCAGTTTGCGTTCATGTCTTTCCAGACTCATCTGTAACAATCACACTACACAATGCTTTAAACGTGGATGTTGCTACAAAGAAGCTGCGTATTCTAAAATGTAGATGCTTCACACACAACTTCATCCTCCAGCACAGATCTAATCATCAGTTTTACGGTGGACACCTCAGATTAGTCATCAATTCAGTATCTGACCAAATGTCTCCCCTTCTGTTCCTGAGATATGACGCTGAGTGATGCTGTGCGTTCCAATACCCATACTACCATACTTTATAGTTTGCCAAGAAAAGATTTAGTATGTCCTAATACATAGTATGTCAAATGAGGTAGAAACAGGAATATTGATTGTTTAAGTGAACAAAATAATCCCAAATATAACAAACAACAACAGGACTTAACTATGAAATAACATTGACATAACACTGACTGCAGATTTAATTTCATTGTGGCAAATATAATATGTTTGAATCTACAATCTGTGCAGTTATAACTTTAAAATTAAGATACATACATTGCAAAGTAACAACAGCAGAGCTCCACAGGTTGATCTCAGTCTCTGGGGAACTCGGAAAGCAGTGTTTGTCTTATCTCCAAGGTAACGGATACAAAAGCGAGAGGGTCAAAGTTCAGGGCGTAATGTTATGAGAAAGTAGATTGTGTGCATACTGCATGCAACAGTAAGTTCTTTTTAAGGGCAGCTGCAGTACATACTAAAAGTTAAAAAAAAAAAAAGAAAAAAGAAAAAAGGATGCGATTCGGAATGGCCAGAAGTGCTTTTGCAGAACACTGTGATGTCACAGTGAAGTTGGCCTTTGACCTTGTGGATATAACATGTCATCACTTCATCATTTTATTCTATCAGACATATTTGTGAAGTTTTGTCATAATCAGCACATGAATTCTTGAATTATGGCCAAAAACATGTTTTGTGAGGTCACAGTGACCTTGACCTATGACCACCAAATTCTTATCAGTTCATCATTGAGTCTGAGTGGATGTTTGTGCCAAGTTTGAAAGAATGCCCCATGCTCACGAGAATAAGACGGACCAGGGATCTTATTTATAAAACAGTGTGTAAGATCCAAAATAAAAATGTACGTACCAACAAAAATGAAAAATGGCATGCGTCAAAAAATGTTATACAATTTCTACAACCAGGCTTCCACCTCAACAATCTGCATCGCCAATTTCCCATCTCCAAAATGTTGGTAAGCACGTGTCAAAGTTTCTCCCATCAAGTCTGTTTTTATACATCACAATTTTTGCGTGGAAGGTAGCGTATGCCTCTTTCAGGCCTCGTTTTGTGCATACACAACGTTTATAAATGAGACCCCAGGTCACAGTGACTTTGACCTTTGACCACCAAAATCTAATCAGTTCATCCTCGAGTCCGAGTGGATATTTGTGCCAAATTTAAAGAAATTCCCTACAGGTGTTCTTGAGATGTTACAGTCATGAGTACAACAGATGGACAGACAACCTGAAAACATGACGCTTCTGACCAACGCCATAGACGGCGTGGAGGCATGACAAGTAAGTTGAAGCCAAATTCGAAAACTTCCTGTCCTAGTTTAGATGTTAGTTATTGCATATGTAGAGATAGAGATGGCGGAGCAAAGAAGGAGGTCATACAGTATTGATGACAGCAACAGAAGGGTTGGGACAGAGATGGAGAGGTGACAAATAATGAGAAAAAAACAAGATCAGTGTGAGGCACAAAGTGTTCTCTCTCTCTTTCACACACACACACGCACACAGTTTATTGTGAGGGATCATGTCGTACACTGGCAATCAATGCTGGAAAATATCTCTGGAAAACCTGGAGGTGTGGAAAAAACCCTGGAATTTCTCTGTAAGACTATCTAACAAAACTGTTTATTCATTCTTCTGCTGTCCTCTGGCAATAAAAATATAGTTTGACTGCAGAGTGCACAAACTATCTGCTATTTTACTGCACAATGTGTTTACATGACGGAGAGGGGACGAGTGGGGAAGAGAGTGAGAAGTTTGGAGAAATGTGCTTCAAAAGGAATTTACTTTGGCAGAAATACAGGAATACAACTGCGCCAGAAACTCCACACACACACACACACTGACATCTGACCACACTGACAGACGACGTGCACACTTTTCAGCGTGAAAGAACGAGCCGGCCACATCATTAAATTACTTAAGACATTTTTAATAGTTCTGTGTAGCAAACAGAATGACTATGTGCATTATTCTGTATACATCGAGCAAAGAAAAAAACAAAATCTTGTTTCCATTCAAATACATTAAAATAAATCAACCATAAAAATTCACATAGAAAACAATCTCTTAAAAAAAAATTACTGAACATAAGGAATGCCTCAAATTAGAAAACAATTATTCCAGTGATGTTCTGATATCCTTTTTTAAACCTTTCTCTTGTTAATGTTGAAATCAGTTTACAGTATCTGGTACACACAATCACCTGGAACTGTCCACCAGGGTAATAAATCAGCAGTTGTGTCTCTGGTTTTACAGCTACAACATATTTTGTGCTGGAGAGCAGGCGCAGCAGTCATTATTCTCAGTGTTACTGGATTAAATTGCAGCACCAGCACCTCTACACCTACTGTACTTGACGAACCTCATTTCTTGTTAAGTGTCAGTGTCTCCATGTATGAAAGCATTTAAATTTTAATTGAAGTTAATGAATAAATGCTGGTGTTGTTGAGAAAAGATGTGACTTTTTTAAATTCCTGAAAAGCTAAACTTTAGGGAGCTTTACAGATTTTCTAGCGTGGTAAGACCATCTTGATGACGTGAGCTCAACATTTCCTTTCTCTATCAGTCAGGACTCAGTGCCGCCCCAAACATTCCAGAAATTAAAATCCAATCAGGAATCCGCACTACAGTTGACAATTTAACTATATATAACCGTCCAGGCACTGTGTTGTATTCGATGACATAAAATGGAGGCTGCAGCTTGCAGAGCAGTGATGGCGGTTCCTGAAGCAACAGGCGCCACCTCTGACATTAGTGGAGCAGACACAGCAATATGGAGAAATAGAGTCAATGACGTCAATTAAACGGGAAAAGACGTTTTTGCTGTTCTTCCATCTGGATTTGGCAAAGCTTGATTCATCAACTGGCTACGTTGGTGATGACGATGATGTTTCCCAGTGTTTTGTTCTGCTGATTGGCAGACAGAGGTTGTCTGTCAAGGTGAGTGCTCCCGCCCACTCCAAGTGTTTGGGGTGGCACAGACTGATACAGAGAGCGAAACAGAATATTGACGGTCTCACCAGGCCAAAGATTTTCCTCAATCACAGGCAAAATGAAGCACTGATCTCTAATCAGCGGGTTTACAAAGACCGCTGGAGTCCACCCAGTAGTTTTTACATCCTGAGGCTGGCTGGGTGTCAGAGCTGAAGTACACACACTACACTATTGTGTTTGCATAGTTATAAATATTGCATGGTGCGGCTGACATCACCTCTCAGGATTCCTGTCAGATATTACACCACAACATCATGGCAACATGTTCGCTGATTGCTACTGAATACAAGTAAGAGCAAGGCCAGACATTCAGAAACTACTGCTGCAGTTCAGTAGGAGGGAAAGTGGGTGAACACACACTCAAACACACACACACATACTTGTCTCAGCAGTTTTTGGGCAGTTTTCCAGTGTGCTATATCCTCAGCAGAAAGACCACAAAGCTGTTTATGAAACCTAGGATTTATGACAGCATGGTCGGTATCGTACAGTAATTACAGATGGTAACACACACGCACACACTCAAACTTACACGCACAAACACACACACAGATATGTAGGAAGTTGAGCGTGCACATTAAACTAAATATAGGCGGCTTACTTCACACAGTCATTCTCATACACATCAACACACAGGCATGTAAACTGCTCATGTACGGAAACACCCTTTGAAAAAGTTTTTTTTTGGTTTGACTGTGGAAGAACTTTCTCCTCCAATTTATCTCTACATCCCTCTGAGGTTTATAGGAATGTTCGTGGATGTAAGCAGGTTGTCTTCATATAACTTTGTGGGCACGTGTGGTAGCTTGGACAAGTTTTTGTAAATTATCTCCATTTTTATATGTGAAATTTAACATATGCATGCACACCAGTGAACTAAATCCCTTCTCAGAAAACAAAACACACTGTGACACCCAGGTGATGACTACTGTTGGACTGGTTTGCACACAGCATCCCAGTGCAAACTGACTGGACTAAACCTGGGAGTGAAATGACAAGACTGGATTTCTATTGGTTGGCACTTTTTTCAATAACACAGCAACAATGATTAACACTTACAAACAGTAACATACAGTATATCAGACAAATACAAATCAATATGTTTCATGAGTTAAAAAAAAAAAGTGAAAAAGCGCAAAGTGGTCTTGGCCTGGAACATCCAGAGAAAACTCTATGAAGCACCCGCAGGAGGTGTCGAATTCCAGACATTCCCAGTTCAAATTTGGGATTTGGAAATAACCGCTATAAAGGGGTGGATCCCTCCTGAGTAAGTCTTTGGAACCGTTTAAGATGCCCTTTGATGAGTGACAGGTGAAGCAAGTGAAACAGACAAAAATACATGAACTGATATGTGCACATGCCGAGGAAAGCAAATCTTTATGACACCGGCAAAGATCCAAAGGTTGACGAGGGGTGTGCAGGGTTTGTGGCTGAGGTGACAGCCCCGCACTCATCCTCTGCCACTCCCTGTCCTCCCAGAAGACACAGACAATGCTACCCTAAAAGATGGTAAGACAAGAATAGGAGACACAGGGCTTTTTTTGTCTTTGAGCTAATCTCAGGTTGATATTGGCCCCTGGAATGGCTATGAAATACATCTGCATTTGGATATCACTGACTCTGAGTAAAAAAACTTTCTGCCCTGGATGCCTAATTGGACCGAGAAGGAGCAGCGTCCAGTAACTCCTCTAATGACTCCGCTCCTTCTATTTTAGGCTCCTCTGTCTCCTCTGGCTTTTTCTTCTTAATGGGCACTTTGCTGGATGAAGGCGTGTCTTCCTGCATCAGCTCTTTGGCCAGGATGTTGGTCACTGCATGACCAGCTCGTCGGTGGTTGGCTGAGAAAGAGACAGAAACAGACTGAGTGAGATAAACACATAAAGGGGACATTATAAATGTGTACACCATAACATAATCCATTCAGATATGTCAGTGCATGCCATGAAAAGACATATCTGAAAATATATCAGTCAAACAACACTACAGGCAGATACTTAAAGGGACAGTTCACCCCAAAATCAAAAATACATGTTTTTCCTCTTACCTGTAGTGCTATTTATTATTCGAGATTGTTTTCATGTGAGTTGCAGTGTTGAAGATATCGGTTGTAGACATGTCTGCCTTCTCTCAAATATAATGGAACTAGATGGCACTCTCTTTGTGGTGCTCAAAGCACCAAACACTACATCTGATAAACTCAACAGCAATGTCTCTTTCCAGAAATCATGACTTGGTTACTCAAGATAATTCACAGACCTTGTTGCGATCAATTTCATGTAGGAACTATTTACTTTCTACTGAACTACACACTGCCATCTGTATCACCACGCAGAAGGAAGTGTGCATCTACTCATGGACGAGAGGCATGGAGGAGATTCCACCTCCTGCCTAAAGCTCTGTAGCTGCCTTTCTGGCCTTCGAGGCTCTTCACGATATTTATGCCTCCTGTCTAAACCCAGCATTCTCACCCAGATGTGCTCTCAGACTCATACATTCAGAACGCATTTAACATTAATCGGTAGTACTGACATTATTTGGTCAGTACCCTTAACAGTCCCGAGATCAGTACCCAACTCTGCTGATCTGTGGATTATCTTGAGCAAGCAGGTCATGATTAGGGTTGGGTATCGTGTATTTTTTCCGATACTGGTGCTAAACTCTTGGCACACTATTAACAAATTCACATACACAATCACATAATATATTTCACACTAAATGTCAGATACAGTACTAGGGCTGCCCCTTGAAAGTCAGAGAATCGAACCATCAGTTGGAGAGCAGTCGACTGAGATTGCTTCGAGTTGAGCAGTGTTGCTTTTGTTTGTTTGTTTTTTTAGCAGTTGTTTCAGTTTCAGTTTTCTAGTTTGTGTGCTATGCAGTGTTCTTCTAGAGACGTTTTGAAACCCAGATTTTGCTGTGGAGTGAGCACTCTCAACTTTCACACTACTTTTTGGTACAGGCTGCTGCAGACATGATGCAGCAGCCTCACTGTAACAGTGACACACGCACTCCCCCTCCGTCTCTCAGCTGCACACTTGTTACGCACAAAATCTGGCACTGAAATCTGTGTTACAATTAGGTCCCAAAGGTAGTGTCATAAAGGGATAGCACAGGGTTTCGGTATCCAACCGTAATCATGACTTCTGAAAAGAAACATTACTGTTGAGTTTTTCCAATGTATTTTTTTGGCACTTTGAGCACCACAAGCAGAGTGCCATCTAGTTCCATTATATTCGAGAAAGGGCAGACATCTCTTCAGCTGACATCTCCAACACTCAACAACTCACACCAAAACAATCAAGACAGATAAATAGTACTACAGGTAAGAGGTAAAATATGTATTTTTGATTTTGAGGTGAACTGTCCCTTTAACATTTTCATTGACTGAACACACGGCCACAAGTATGTGCCTTCAAGGACACCATAGACTTGTGCTTTGAATGATAACACAAAATGGATGCTCCCTTTATTTCCAACATACACATACATGCATTACCATGACACACAAATGGCTTAATGATGTGTGTGTGTGTGTGTGTGTGTGGCTTAGTGTGACATCTGGAGCCACTCACTGCTGATGTCAGATTAGACTCAACTTGATCTTGACGAAGTGGGAAAAATTAGGAAAAGGGGAGAGCAAAACGAGGCATGAGAGACATTTAGAGGAAGTGGGGCTGATGGGATGGAGGAATAGTGAGTGTGTAAAGCAGCAGAAAGAAGGGGTGAGACACCAGGAGGAGCGGGATGATTCACGCTGTGGGAAGATTACAGAGGCAGGGATGAATGAAAATGAGACGAACATGGGTGGAGAGATTGAGTAAGAGGAGGAAGGAGCTGTAGGGAATGACGGAAGGAAGTAGTAAAATAGATTGCACACAAACAGTGGATGCAGTGAGGAAGGATAAGAGATGCACAGGGACGCAGAGAAGCAGAGCGAGTGTGACAGATTGTGCCCTGAGGATGCTGTCGTCTTTATTCTTCTACCTGCTTACTCTGTTATTTCCATCTCCTCCCACACACACACACCAGCAGCAACAGCCTTGCCTTTATCTCTCAATCCCTCCCTCCATCCTTTACCATTCTTCATTCTCCTGTGTGGGAGGACAGCTGTGCAGCAGCGGCCATTTTGAATTATATAGGTCAGTGGGAGATTGTGTTTGTGTGTATGTTAAGAGCTCAGGGGTTATGAATAAAAGGTTAACATCAGTACAGGACACATTTGTTATCATACACACACACATTGACATAATGTGTTCCTGTGGCTACTGATGAGAAACAAAAAACAGATCAATCCGACAATGTCATGATGCAAACCAGTAGCAATACACATGCAAATGAACCATGGTAACATAAACAACAAACCAAGACCTGACACATGGTTCTGACGGAGAAGAAACAGACACACAAAAACACAAGTTACCGAACAGGTTTCCAGAACTAGCTGTGACAAAGACACAATTGAGTCTGGGGAGAGAGAGGAGAGGGAGGATTTTGAGATTTCGAGTCATCTTCACAGTTGACTTGTGAGCCTCAGCTGGACTGATCAGCACAGACAGCTGGGGTGTCAAATAATCATTTCACACACTTTCCTTGGAGAGACACACAGATCACTCGTCATCTCTTATGAACACCATTATCTCTCTCTCTCAGTCAACTCTCAAATATGTCCTCCATGTCTATTTCTGTCCCTTTTCCAAACCTCTCTCCCTTACTCATAAACTTACTAATTAGAAATTATGCAAATGACCCAAAAACCGAGAGAAACAGTGCGCGTCAGTGTGGGTGTTATTCTATGTGTATGTGTACTGTGCTGAGCTTGTCCTAAAAAAAATCCAACCCGCAGAGAAAAGCTCTTCAAAGGCTGTCAACCCAGCTCCTCTCTCATCCTCCTCCACTCCCTCTGAGAGAGAGAAGACAGAGAGGAGGAAGAGAGGGGGGGATAAGAGTCAGGATCAGAGGGTTGTGTCACTGGAGGCAGCATGGGAAAAGATGAATTTAGACAGAAACCTGCAGATTAAAGTTAACGAGCAGAAAATTCTCGGAGAAGATGTGCAAAGTTTCACTGGTTTTAAATATAGTTAAATTATGTGAACTAAAACAGCCTCGGAAGCAAATACATCACTGACAGACAGGTTTCAATGAGCATATCAAGTTACATTTAAATAGAACCTCATATAATCTCACCAGGAGAAGGCTGGCGATATAAACCCGTGGCCATAAACCTGTACAGCTTATCATGCACATAACTGTCCATATTTCTTATGTTTAATCTTATTCTATTCGTGTTTATTCTATTGATGTACAGTACAGGCCAAAAGTTTGGACACACCTTCTCATTCAATGCGTTTTCTTTATTTTCATGACTATTTACATTGTAGATTCTCACTGAAGGCATCAAAACTATGAATGAACACATGTGGAGTTATGTACTTAACAAAAAAAGGTGAAATAACTGAAAACATGTTTTATATTCTAGTTTCTTCAAAATAGCCACCCTTTGCTCTGATTACTGCTTTGCACACTCTTGGCATTCTCTCCATGAGCTTCAAGAGGTAGTCACCTGAAATGGTTTCCACTTCACAGGTGTGCCTTATCAGGGTTAATTAGTGGAATTTCTTGCTTTATCAATGGGGTTGGGACCATCAGTTGTGTTGTGCAGAAGTCAGGTTAATACACAGCCGACAGCCCTATTGGACAACTGTTAAAATTCATATTATGGCAAGAACCAATCAGCTAACTAAAGAAAAACGAGTGGCCATCATTACTTTAAGAAATGAAGATCAGTCAGTCCGGAAAATTGCAAAAACTTTAAATGTGTCCCCAAGTGGAGTCGCAAAAACCATCAAGCGCTACAAGGAAACTGGCACACATGAGGACCGACCCAGGAAAGGAAGACCAAGAGTCACCTCTGCTTCTGAGGATAAGTTCATCCGAGTCACCAGCCTCAGAAATGGCAAGTTAACAGCAGCTCAGATCAGAGACCAGATGAATGCCACACAGAGTTCTAGCAGCAGACCCATCTCTAGAACAACTGTTAAGAGGAGACTGCGCGAATCAGGCCTTCATGGTCAAATAGCTGCTAGGAAACCACTGCTAAGGAGAGGCAACAAGCAGAAGAGATTTGTTTGGGCCAAGAAACACAAGGAATGGACATTAGACCAGTGGAAATCTGTGCTTTGGTCTGATGAGTCCAAATTTGAGATCTTTGGTTCCAACTGCCGTGTCTTTGTGAGACGCAGAAAAGGTGAACGGATGGATTCCACATGCCTGGTTCCCACTGTGAAGCATGGAGGAGGAGGTGTGATGGTGTGGGGGTGTTTTGCTGGTGACACTGTTGGGGATTTATTCAAAATTGAAGGCACACTGAACCAGCATGGCTACCACAGCATCCTGCAGCGACATGCCATCCCATCCGGTTTGCGTTTAGTTGGACGATCATTTATTTTTCAACAGGACAATGACCCCAAACACACCTCCAGGCTGTGTAAGGGCTATTTGACCAAGAAGGAGAGTGATGGAGTGCTGTGGCAGATGACCTGGCCTCCACAGTCACCGGACCTGAACCCAATCGAGATGGTTTGGGGTGAGCTGGACCGCAGAGTGAAGGCAAAGGGGCCAACAAGTGCTAAACACCTCTGGGAACTCCTTCAAGACTGTTGGAAAACCATTTCAGGTGACTACCTCTTGAAGCTCATGGAGAGAATGCCAAGAGTGTGCAAAGCAGTAATCAGAGCAAAGGGTGGCTATTTTGAAGAAACTAGAATATAAAACATGTTTTCAGTTATTTCACCTTTTTTTGTTAAGTACATAACTCCACATGTGTTCATTCATAGTTTTG